GGTACATCTATACAATGGAATATTACTTGGCTGTAAAAACAAAACAAAACAAAACAAAACAAAAACAAAACAAAAAAAAAACAAAAAAACAAAATCTTGCCATCCGCGACCACATGGATGGACCTAGAGGGTATTGTGCTGAATGTAGTAAGTCAGACAGTGAAAGACAAATATCATATTATTTCACTTATAAGTGGGATATAAAGAACAAAATAAATAAACAAATGAAACAGAAACAAACTCAGACACAGAGAACATTTTGATGGTTGCCAGATGGGAGGGGGTTTAGGAATAGGTGAAAAAGGGAAGAGATTAAGAAGTACAAATTTCTTGTTACACAGTAGTCACGGAGATGTAGGGTATAGCATGAGGAATATAGTCAATAATATTGTAATAACTATGTATGGTGTCAGATGGAGACTAGATCTAGTGGGGTGACAAATGGGAGGGGGGTTGGGGCAGGGTTAAAACAGTGAAGGGACTAAGAAATACAAATAGGTAGCTATAAAATAGTCATGGAATGTAAAGTATAGGGAATATAATAAATAATATGGTAATAACTATGCATAGTGCCAGGTGGGTACTAGTCAGGGGGATCATTTCCTAGGTTGTGTAGCTGTCTGACCACTATGCTGTACACCTGAAACTAATATAAAATAATATTGAATGTCAACTCTAATTGAAAAATTAAAGGGGGCAAAAGATAAAGAAGAATAAGAGGTTCAAATTTCCAGATATAAAACAAATAACTCTTTGGAATGTCACATACAGCATAGAAATAGTCAACAATATTGTGATAATGTGGTACAGTATCAGATGGTTGCAGGATTTATCATGCTGATCACTTCTTTAGCATAGGAATATAATCAATAATGTGGTAATAACTCTGTATAATGCCAGGTGGGTACTGTTGAATAACTATGGCATATTCCTAAAAATCATATGATGTTGTATGTTAGCTATATTTTAATAAAAATCTGTAAGAAACTATAGAGAGAGCTCCTGAGCAAAGAACTGCAAAGCATCTCCAAATTCATGGCCATACCCATGTGCACCATGTGTGGCCATCATCATGGTCTCATCTCTCTGTAAATCTTTTCTGTTATCCAAGATGGCTACAGGATGAGCCAGTTTCCAGGACTCTGGCATTTCCAGCCTGTGATGGTTTGTTACCTCAGAAGCTGAGATCCCTGTTCACTGCAGCCTACCCTTGGCCTTAGCTAGTCACAGTACAGCAGGTCCTAAAATAATGTTGTTTTGTTTAACGTGGTTTCATTATAACATTGATGAGGTGCCATAGGAACTTAACTCTAGTTTATATCAATTAGCCTATGGTAAAATTGGTTTTGTTATATGTCATTTCACTTAAAGTTGCAGGACCTATGGAGGATGTTAAATGAAGACTCCCTGTAGAACCAAAAGTTTAATCCAGTTCTCATTAATTTTGTTTTCTCCTATTGCATAGTCAGTGGGTATAACTACATGGATGAGCTTTGTAACTATAACTTTTGTGCTAGAAATGCACCCTCAAACTCTTGGTTCTATACTGAACCCACTCACTTAGCCAACGGCAAACTGGGGTAGGTATTGGCAGAAGTCCTCTCATCCTGTCACCGCTGAGAAGGGCACCTCTGTGAGCCAGGCAAAGGTGCAGCAGGGGTTGGTGGGTCCCAATGGGCACCCTGCTTCTCACTTTTTTTAAGAAAGCAAGAAGCTGCAGCTGCCAGAGGAAAGAGGACTCCACACGTCAGTACTCTTCAACCCAGGATATTGTACCCAATGACTAGACAACAGAAGAAAAAGAAGAAAGAAAAGTGGATTAAAGTTCTGGTATTTTAATGTGCAGATCTACAATAGGCCACTCTCTTGTGTGGCATTTTCCCACCACAGTCAGTACCCCTTTGCCCACCAGGAAGATGACTTGTTTGTTTCTCTTTCATTTTCATGTACCCAACATCACCTTAAAGAGGCACCCTAAGCACAGGAAGAAATATCTAGGACAAAAAGACAGCAGAATGAGAATACTCCTGCCTGCATTTACACTTGACCTATATGCATAGCGAAAATTTTTCCTCACAAATGGGTCAAGGGAAGGACACTTCAGTGTTGAAAGGCAAGAATTGGCATTCTTTAAAAAGTAGAATTAGAGTGAATCAAGATGGCAGGGTAGATAAATACTGCGCCTGCTTCCTTCAGTTGTAATTAAAATTACAACTGAATTATACAAAAATCAACCTGGAGAACCATCTGAAGACTAGCTGAACAGAAGTTTTATAACCAAAGATATAAAGAAGACCACATCGAGACTGGTAGGAGGGGCAGAGACGCAAAACGGGCTGGCCCCAAACCTCCATGTGGTGGCTGAGAATCAAGTGGGCTATCTCAGCCGTTGAGGTTTCCCCCAGAGGAGTGAGGGACCCCATTCTCACACCAGCCTCCTTAGCCCAGAGTACTGGTGCCAGGAAGAGGAGCCCCCACAACATCTGGTTGTGAAAAACAGTGGGGATTCTGACCATGTGGGTGGGATGGAAGGCTGTAGGAAACTCACATGTACTCTTAAAGAGCCTTTGCACAGCCTCACTCACTTTCAGGCACTCACCTTTGGCTTCAGCAGAGTGACAGTAACTCAGGGGGTGTCAGAGGCATGCGGGAGGCGTGTGTGGTTTCAGCGAAGGGCTGGAGGACACTCCCATTTTCCCTGTGTGGGGTCCTTCCTCCTCCCATGCAGCCAGCAGGCAGCAGGTGGGCGCCATCTTTCCTGTATTGAACCCTCCCCCTACGCTTACGGCCAAATCTGAATCTGATTGACCTGATGAGCTCTGCTGAGACCCCACCCCACCCAACTCCCCCAACATCAGAGGCACTTTCTCTGGCACTTTCTCAGGCCAGAAGGGATTGGCATCAAATATTCAACATGATGAAAAACAAGGACCTACAACAAGATTATTGCACCCAGCAAGACCATCATTTAGAATCAAAGGACAAAGAGCTTCCCAGACAAGAAAAAGCTAAAGGAGTTTATCACCACCAAACCAGGATTACAAGGAATCTTAGAGGGACTTCTTTAAGACAAAAAAAAAGAGAGAGAGAAAAAAATATGAATAGTAAAATGGCAATACCTACATATCTATCAATGATAACTCTCAATGTAAATGGATTAAATGCTCCATTAAAAAGACATAGGATGGCTGAATGGATAAGAAAACAAAACCCTTATATATGCTGCATACAAGAAACTCACTTCAGGGCTGGCCGAGTGGCTCAGCTGGTTAAGAGCTCACTTGGGAGCACCAGCTCTGAGCAGCAGGGCTGAGGTTCAGATCCCACATTGAGGGCCAGCGACATTCACCCTCTATAGCTAAGATGATGAACAACAGCTCAACCTGGAGCTGGGCTGCTGTGAGTCGCCGGCGATGACGTAGGCTGCAGTGGGGCTGCAGGGGGCTATCGTGAGCTACGTGAGTGGCTGGAAGCCAGCGTGAGCAGCCGGCAGCTGGTGTGAGCTGCTGGGAGCCGCTGGGAGTGGCCGACCAATGACCGGCAACCGATTGCTTCACCCGGGAAGAGCACAATGATCATACCAACAAGGGCCAGTGAAGCAACGTCCTCCACAACTAGACTGAAGAACAAAAACAGCAATTTGTCTACCTGTGTGTTCTCCTTCCCCGATTCCCCAACGCTGTTCCCCTCCTCCCCAATTCCCCAATAAAATCTTTAAATAATAATAATAAAGAAACGCACTTCAGATTGAAAGAAACACACAGACAGAAAGTAAAGAGTTGGGAAAAGATATTTCATGAAAACGAAAACAAACAAACAAAAAAGCTGGGGTCACAATACTTATACCAGACAAAATAGACTTTAAAACAAAGGCTATAACAAGAGACAAAGAAAGACTCGGTAATCCTACTTCTGGGTAATTATCTGAAGAAACCCAAGCTCTACTTTGAGGGGATGTGTGCATCCATATCTTCATTGCAGCACTGTTTACAATGGCCAAGATATAGATTCAGCCATCGATGGAAGAATGGATAAAGAGGAGGTGGTAGATATATACAATGGAATATTGCTCGGCCATGGAAGGGAATGGGTTCTTGCCATCTGTGGCAGCATGGTTGGACCTGGAGGGTATTGTGCTGAGTGGAGCATGTCAGGCAGAGAAAGGCAGATGCAATGTGATTTCACTTATATGAGGAATCTAAAGAACAAAATAAACAAACAAGCTCATAGATACAGAAAACATTTTGATGGTTGCCAGATGGGAGGGGCCTGAGGTTGTGGGTGAAAAAAAGGGGAAGGGATTAAAAAGTACAAAGTGGTTGTTACAAAGTAGTTATGGGGATGTAGGGTATAGCATAGGGACTATTTCGATAATACTGTAATAACTACGTATGGTGTCAGATGGGTACTAGATTTATCAGGGTGACAGATGGGAGAGGGGTTTGGGGCAGGGTGAAAAAGTTAAAAGGATTAAAAAGTAGAAATTGGTAGTTATAAAATAGTCACGGAGATGTAAAGTAAAGCATAGGGAATATAGTCAATAACATGGTAATAACTACGTACAGTGCTACATGGGTACTAGGCTAGTCAGAAAGGCCACTTCTTAAACTATACAAATGTCTAACCACTCTGCTGTACCCCTGAAATTAACATAAAATAATAGTGAATGCCAAAAAATGAAAATAAAAACAAAACAAAAAAAAGCAGAATTATAAAATCTGGACAAAAACCCAAACAAGCAGCCCCAGCATGTGTCTGCATGCACTTGCTGTGGTTTATAGAACAAGCCCCGTGGTAGAATTTGCAAACCACTTTGAACGCAGTTCAAAGGCCACGATTCCCATTCCACTCGCGAAGCAAAGCCAAACGCGTGTGCATGCTCTGCAGCGCTTGGAGAAAAGGTGGGCTGTGTACAGGGTGAGACACGAATATGTTAATTTCCTGACACTTAGTTTGCTCGGGGAAGATTAACAGGTCTGTGCTATGCGAACGCGGTCAGGTTTCTCACCGTGTGAGACAGAGGCAGGATTGTTTGTGGTACTGGTATGAGGTAGCGACACACTCTCAGAGAGTGATGTTACAATAAACACAGCACCTCGCCTTCCTACTTGCCAAGGGCGCTTCAAGAGAGCTGCAGGACGCACACCCACCGGAGCAGTGTGCAGCTGGAGAGGAGCCTGACCACGAAGAGGTCTGGACCGAAGGCTGTTCTCTTTCTAAAGTGAACTCACACTCACCCTTTGACTTTTGGTCAAGAGTTGTGCTGAGCTGGCTGCAGCCTCTCTTTCCAGTTACATTTGTCCCAGCCGAGGGAAAAGCGTTAAGACGTCTCCTGCCTCCGCTAATAATGCCGACGGTGGATGACATTCTCGAGCACATAGGGGAATTTTGCTTTTTCCAGAAACAGACGTTTTTCCTCTTATCTCTGCTCTCAGCCGCCTTCGCCCCCATCTACGTGGGCATCGTCTTCCTGGCCTTCACCCCGGACCACCGCTGCCTGAGCCCCGGCGTGGCCGAGCTGAGCCGGCGGTGCGGATGGAGCCTGGACGAGGAGCTGAACTTCACGGCGCCGGGCCCGGGGCCGGCGGGCGAGGCCTTTCCCCGCCAGTGCCGCAGCTACCAGGTGGACTGGAACCAGAGCGCCCTGGGCTGCGTGGACCCGCTGGCCAGCCTGGCCTCCAACAGGAGCCACCTGCCGCTGGGCCCCTGTCAGCACGGCTGGGTGTACGACACGCCGGGTTCCTCCATCGTCACCGAGGTAAGTGAGACAGGTCTTAGAAACGACAGAGCAAATAGTGCAGCTTGTCTTAAGGAAGAAGCCAGTAAGGCCTACACATGCTCTTTGGACTCAAAGTATCTTTTAAAATCCTAATTTCCGACGGAAACATGCAGCCTCTTATTTGTCCGGAGCAGATAAAACTTGATCAAATTCAGGCAATAAGGACTCTGAGGTATGCAACTCTCAGCAGTAAGAAATGAGGAAAAGCATAGGAGAATTCCTGGAAATAATGCCAGGAAAGGGAAAACTTGCCAAGTCTCCTCTTTTTCTGGAAGCCCTACCTCCCCCTCTATTCTTCTATCAGGCAGATGGACTCTTGAAAGCTCATGGAACTCACCTGAATGGTGCCTTACTGTGATATGATGTACTTTTCTCTTAAGGGCTATCTTTTCTATTTAATGTGCTCAACGTGTCCATATAAAGCCATTTGGGGTGGGAGTTTATGCTAGGGTACTATTATGTTACTAAAAACTACAGACAACAATAACATCTACTTGTGAAGCCCTATTTCAATAAATATAGAGAAAAAAATAGAGACTTGTTTTTATTAGAGGCAACGCAAAATGAGGGGATGCAATTATTCTGAAAATACAGAGAACGCCAGTTGCCTGACTTAATTTAAAAAGACTGCTTGGATAATGTGAAGCTATTCTGTATGGAGAGACATTTAGGTAGAGGAGCCTTTCTTAAGGATCTAAACTGGTCTGAAAGTTACGTGAAATGTGGAAGATTAGATTTAACACCATACAACTCTAAGAGGTTTCACAGCATGGCTAATCTCATCCCTTCGTACAGCGATGAGGAAGCAGGCCCAGAGCAGGGAAACATTTTGCCCAAGGCCACAGAGTGAGCGAGTTCGCAGTGAGCCCTAGAAATCTGATCCCCTGACTTCCAGGCTAGCACCTGTTCCTCCTTTGACGCTGCCTCTGGTTCCAAATGAGAGCAAAGGTAACAGCCTTTGCAAACACTCCTAATCCCCCAGTTTTGAAGAGACAGCAAAGAGATGCCAAACAGCCCAACCTCCGCTGGGCACATTTGGATCCGGTCCACAAACCTATTTGCCTCTGTGTATGAAAATGAGAAAGAAAACGGTTTTGTGCGTAAATGGAGATTACCCAGTTTCAGCTGAGTTAGCCTACAATTGAGTTTAGCCTCATGACATACTGCCAGATGGAATGCTAAATAGATTGTAGGACAAATCTTTTTATCGGGTAGAGAAAATTAATATAATAGCAAGAAAACTGGGCTTATGGCCTTTCAGCAGCATCTGTTCAACGCACGGGATACATGAGTCCCCCAGGCTGAGTTGTGTCTAACAGGAGTTTGTTTTCTTTCTCTCCTGACTCGGGACCCCTTTCGCCCCTCGGCAGTTTAACCTAGTGTGTGCCAACTCCTGGATGCTGGACCTGTTTCAATCGGCGGTGAATATAGGATTTTTTATCGGGTCCATCAGTATCGGCTACATAGCAGACAGGTAGGTGGGGGCCACGGGTTCCAAAATCACTTGAGTTCACCTGTCCTTGCTTGAATACCATCCTTTCCCAAATCACACAGACTACAATTGCCTGGCCTACCATTGGTTGTCTTGACAATTTCAGAATTTTTTTCTGTTGCTTGGATAAGCATGGCCGATGCTTTTATTTTCCAATGTTCTGGGTCATAGAAGGATGTTTCAATATTAGGCAGCAGTTTTCCCTTGGGGGGCGGGGAGAGGAGGGCTATCCAGAAGCCTAGAGTTAGAAGGAAGACTAATAAATAGATGGCTTGATCCCTTTTGTAATTCCCAGCTCATTCTTTGAGGACCTCTCATATTCCCAGAGCCAGCGCAAACTCTCCCTACTGCTGTCCTTACCTTGGCCCAGGGGATTGCAAGCTTCCTGAATTGGGGCCCTTGGGCCAGATGTAATTATGAGCATGGTACCTAGGATGAAATTTGGTGACAGGGAAGCGAGTCTGTCTACACTGAGAGAGGTAACTGTTCACTTCCATAACGTCAGTGTCCCTGGAGGGAGATGAGGAAAGCCTGTTCCATGTGGAACGGCCAGCAGATGGTCCTCTCGGATGGTCTGTGCATTCAGGGGCTAACATTCAGTGACTCGGGCTAATCCCGTATATGTTATTATCCATCATTAGAGAATCCCAGATTCACTGTGCTGAAAGTTCCTTATAACATGCATCTTTGCACTGTTGATGACCAGTTAGATATTTTTAGGAGTCCTCACAGGGAAAGGAACAGAAAAATTTGCTTTAACTTGATTAGCACTTTCGATAACTTGGCCATCAGGGCTAATTATTCAATACACATCATGCCAACTGTTTATGGACTATTTTCCATGTGCCAGGCACTGCTCAACATTCTGAACAGTATCTTTCTCTTTAAACATCAGTCGCCTGGTGAGATAGTGATATATAGATATATATAATTTTAATGGTAAATAAATGGTAAAGTAAATATACTTTATGCTTGTTGTTCCCCAACTATATCTAGGATAGAGATAAACCCAAACCTGTGAGTATCATATAAAATGTAAACAGAACATTTTCTCTGGTTATCTTATATTGTCAGGCTGGATTAAAATTTACAAACGTGTTAAAGATTGGTAAGGATGGCTTAATCTATCACACCCCCAGGGGCATCTGCATTTTCACAGCCCAACCCACTATGGCGGCAGGAGAAAGGAAAGGGGACAGTTGAGATGCTGGGCCACAGGTTCCATCCATCACACCACTTCTTTAACTGTCTGCTCAGCTTCCCTTCAAAGGCTCTCTCTGGAACTCTGTGGGAGACTTGTGAGGTGAGAGGAAGGTCATTCACTTTTGTTTTTATTGCTGTATAACTGAGGATGGTTGTTTGGAGATGACCCCTTAAGTCTGCAGAGACACACTGGCAAGGGACGGTCCAGAGTCCCTCGAGCTCCGTGAGTGGCTGTCTGGCCCACTGGCTCCTTGTTCCCTCTCCTCTCCCTCCTTCCCCGTAAGGTGCAGACACTAACACTAACAGCACGGAAGTGAGCAAATAGGTAACCTCACAGCTGGTACAATAAATGAGTTAATTATTCTCATCCCACTCGAAGAGTTGGAGACAGGTTATAATTCTCCACTGACAGTGCATTCCTGACTTACAATCCCCAGTCAATTATCCACCTTTTCAGATGACCTCATTATTTTGTTCATATTGTTTAATTCTCCTATGTAAAGTTGATTACTCATTATTATTCCCAAAAAGCTGTGTACATATCTCTGGGGTGTTCTTTTTTCTTCAACTGTCTGAAGTTTTGTTGGTTGTTGCCCCTTTTTCTGTTCTATTGGTGCATGCATGTAAGAGTGTGAAATAAGATAACAGCTATAAAGTTCAAAAAAAGGCAATTACCTTTTGCATAATTAATGCTATTTCTGAACAATTTTCAGATTTTATTCAAGAATCTCATGGAAACCCATTTTATGCTATAGATTAAATCAATATTAAATAAAGTAGATCGGGGCCAGCCGAGTGGCTCAATTGGTTAAGAGCTCGCTCAAGAGTGTGAGCTCTGAGCAACAGCAGTTCGAGTCCCGCCTGAGCTGAGCTGTTGGCAGGATGACTCAGCTAAAAAACAAACAAACAAACAAACAAATAAATAAATAAATAAAGTAGATTGTCTTCTAGGACAAATTTTTAAAATATGACCTGACAGTTGATTAGGCTCTTTTAAAAGAAAACCAGGAGGAAATTATGAAAAAATTGTGAATAAGAATACTGAGTCTTACACCAACTTTCTGAAGGTCAGCTTTGCAAATGGACAAAAGGATGGAAGGAAGGAAGGAAGGAAGGAAGGAAGGAAGGAAGGAAGGAAGGAAGGAAGGGAGAGAGAGAGAGAGAGAGAGAGAGAGAGAGAGAGGAGGGAGACATATGTTAGAGAATTTGAAAATAAACTTTTTTTTAGGTGTCTAATTTATTTCATCATCCATAACCTCCTAATGATTTTGAATATCACCTGATCCAAAAAAAGGGATCTCTCACCAATTCCATATTTTTTACTCTATTGATCAGTAATTATAAGTGCTATATTTAGTGGCATGCTGTAAATGTTTGACAACTGGCTCTCGGAGGGAAGAAGTCCCAATTTGTAGCATTTGCTGACTTCCATGGTGTTAATATTTCCATGGTGGTCCATTGCAAGCTATCCAAGTGAAGTCACTGAACACAGAGTTGGCTAGAAATATGCACCATCATATAGTATTCTCACCATACAGACACACAGATAGATGTAAATAACACCATGAGCATAGATAATGGTCGACCACAGTGAAATAATTAGGAAGCAATAAATTTTGCATAGTCATTACACTTGTTTTTAATATAATTGGCTTAATTGTAAGTGTATAATTTAATTTTTAATAATGGCTGTGTTTAACAATTAGCTCACAAATTTTCCAAAAATCTAATAATCAGCTCTCAAAAGCCAGCACCGCACAGACTGGATTTCATGGTGGAACTAGAGCAAAGCAAAATCAAAGTCCCAGTGGGTCACAGTCAAACTTACCCAGCTATGTGGAAGCTTCTAAATCAAGTTCTCCACTACCTGCTCTGTGCCAGTCACTGTATTGGGTATCCTCGTGTGCTGTACTTCAGTTAGGATCATAACAGCCTTTAAAAGGATATTTTATTATCCTAAATTTGCAAATGAGGAAACTGAGGCTCAGAGACATGAAAGCAGTTCTTCCCCAATGTTAATGTGCATATAACCCCCCACCACCCACCACCCCCAGTGACCTTGTTGGGATTCTGGTTCTGATCTGGTAGGGCTGGAAGGACCTGAGAATCTGCATTTCTGACCATTCCCATGAGATGTCCTTGACCTTGGGCCACATTCTGTGTAGCAAGCAGCTAAAGGACTTAAGAAGCCAGCAGTCCCGGAGCCCTCCCCCTGTCCTGTTTTATCTCTTTGGTTTCATTGAACCACTGAAGGGGTTTTGTTGCAGGGGGGAAAGTTTCAAACCACTATTCTGGATCTCCAAAATAAGCCATACACTATTATTATTATTATTATATTATTATTATTATTATTTTAATAGCATTGTATCCAGTGAAGTTTTTCTGCCTGTAGATTTGATTTTCCAAAGGTTTTCACACTCTGAGTTTCAAATGCTGACCAGTCCCCTCTCATCAGCCACAGGATGTTGTCCACCTACCTACAGGGCTGTGGCTGATGCTCTCTGGCGTGCCCGCGTCATCTTTGGGAGTTAAAGAGCTATCACTTGAGTACATGTTTCTAAACTCTTTGAGGGTCAAGGAAGGGGTTTGGGTAGAATGGGAGAAGAATGGCTAAAACTTATACTGAGATGTGACTTTGGAAAGCTTTGAATAAAAAGGCCAATGGGGTATATATTTGCAATGGGGAACCCCTGATTGAGAATTAAAAAACAATGTGGTCAAAACAGGGTTTTAAGAAGTGTAGTGGTTTGCATTTGTTGCTAATCAGACTGCTTGATCTTTAAATTTCAGTTTTAAAGCATTAATATTCCCAAATAATTATTAACAATGTTGTGGATTATTTTCAAATGGTCAGTTCGTATTGAAATTGTCACTAGAACATAGTTGTCTAAAACTAAGAGTCGCCAGATGGAAGGGGGGGTTGGGTGAAAAAGATAAAGGGATTAAGAAGTACAAATTGGCACTTATAAAATAGTCATGGGGATGTAAAGTACAGCATAGGGAATATAGTCAATAATATTGTAATAACTATATATAGCGTCAAACTATGCTAATTGAAGTGATCACTTCGTAAGTTATATAAATGTCTAGTCACTATATTGTACACCTGAAACTAATATAATATTGAATGTCAACTGTAATTGAAAATATTAAAAAAAAATAAAAGAAGAGCTGTAATCACAAACTGTCCAGCCACCACCCCGAATGTGCAATGTTAATAACACGAAGCTCTAATGACTATTCAGTGCGAAGTCGATAAACAAAGATTTAATAAAACCGTGCTTTCTATGAAGAATTCTTAAAATATCGACCAACAGCTAATTAGGGCATCTCTTAGAACAAAACCAGGAGATCATGATAAAAAACGTGGACATAAGAGTACTAAGCCCCGAGTCAACGTTTTGAGAGGCAGCTTTGCAAACAGAAGGAAGGGGCGGGGGAGGGAGGGCTTTGTGCCAAGCTCTTTACATGGAATATCTCCCTTAATCTTCTTGTCATCTGGGTCAGAGAGTTCTCTTCCAGATGAAGAAATTGAGAAAGGTTGGATAACTCTCCCGATACCATAGTAAGTGGCAAAGTCCAACCCAGGCTCCCAGGTTTCCCTCTGCTCTGTGTCCTGAGACACTCTCCAGGCCCCACACTGATGAAACCTAAGTCTGTCAAATAAAACTGTGTGGAAGCTATCTTCCCAGGGAACGCCATAACAAAGGCCCTGTAGGATGGCAACATGTGAGGTGACTGACAGGTGGAGAGACACAAAAGATTGTTTCCATGGAGCTATGCAACTACCACAAAGTCCAAGAGCAGTGTTTCAAAAGAAGGAGTATACCAAACACTGAATTTGGTTTTCTCTAAAGCGAAAACTCTTGGGTGGGCAGTTAGCTGAGACTGTTCGTGCGGAGGCCCCCGCACCTAGGGTGATGGAAGACCTACACAGGCAGGCCCCTAGGGCATTCAGCTCTGGGTGGCCTGGAAGAACCACCCCCTCCCTGAATACACTCCACAGTGTGGGACTGGAGAGACGCTCCAGTGCTGGGGTGAATGGGGCTATTACACTTAAAATGTACCCATAGTGGGCACTAATGAAAAGTCTTGACCAGAGCTGACCTGAAGTCGGGCTCACCTGGTGGGCATTAATTCGTGTTTCCTGAATTTCCATAATTCAGAGTTAACCTCCACTTTAGGTTTCCATATCGTCCATGGATTTTCTACAACCTTCATACATCTACTCTAATTCTCTTCGCTCTCTTTGTTTTTCTCCTGGCAGGTTTGGCCGTAAACTCTGCCTCTTGGTTACAATCCTCATCAACGCTACATCTGGAGTGCTCGTGGCCATCTCCCCAACCTATACGTGGGTGGTAATGTTTCGTCTGATCCAGGGACTGGTCAGCAAGGCAAACTGGTTAATCAGCTACATCCTGAGTAAGAATGCATGTGGTTGCAGCTGGGGCGACACACGGTCACTGCTGCCAAAATATAGCCAGGTGGGGGGTAGCGGTGTGGAAAAAATGACTTGGCTTCAAGACAGCATCGAGAGATTTTTTTTTTTCCTTCCTGTATCAGAAGAATTTCTAAAATCTTTTCAGTCAACTCATTCTGCATTCCTCCTATAAAGAAAACAATGAAGTCGGGAGTGAGAGTAAACATGCCGTCCAGCTTCTTATATAACTCTTTAGGAATTTGTGTTTTCTGTACCCTGGGGTGTTGCAGAGACAAAAAAATGTAGCCAGCCAGGCCTTTACATAAAGTTCAATGATGAGAGATACGTTAGATTTATAAGGGACTTGAATACTTTGCATAAATCCATTCTAGTGAACCATAGTTATCCTCAATTTCTATACAAGGGAACTGAGGCTGTAAGGGCTGTGGTCAATCGAGGTTCCTCAGTCATTTGTAGGACCAGGAACATCATTTACATCCTACATATTAGTAGCCAGAGTTAGGCTTAAGCTCCATGGAGTACAAGAGAATATTTGAATTCTGACAGCATAGCATCTTTAAAGCAATATTAAGAAAAATCACCGTCATTATTAGATCTTGGGAAATTATCCCATCATTACTTTCTCTTTGGCTACATTCAAGTAGCATCCATACCCAGGAAGATGAACACTCTGAAATTGAGAAAATTATAATAAAGCTCTGATTGCACACGACAGAAGTAGAGTATGTGTGCTTAAAATTTTACCTGCAAAGTTAATTAGAAAAATTCTGTGAGATTAAAAAAAAAGATGGCTATATGAGTATTCATAAGCAGTAATAAGAAATAATACAGAGGGATTCCATGTAAACTTTACCTCAATTTATTGAGCGTGTGTGTGTGTGTGTGTGTGTGTGTGTGTGTGTGTGTGTATTCGTATGCATGTGTGTGTTCTTCTTCTAGTCTCATGGTCTCTGCTATTCATATTGCATCATAATGAACATAATATGCTTATTATTTGTCACTATCACTGTCTGAGAAATAACACCTAAAGGGGAGGGCTAGATGGCACCCCATCCAGAAAAGGACAGAGAAAAGAGAAGGGTCTAAATAATCTAAATGACCTGTAAACTGGGCAACCCCTGAGCTCAAATAGAGATCAGCATGCTATGTTAAAAAAAAAAAAAAAAAAAGATGGTGCTTAATACTATTAGGTGCCTGTCATGGCAGGCATCTAATCTATGTTTGGTCAACAAAGGAGTTATTACAGTTATTTGATTAATAATTTGGTTTCTAGAACACATAATACCATGTTTCCCCGAAAATTAGACGGGGTTTTATATTAATTTTTGCTCCAACAATCTACATTTATTCACTTATTTATGTACAAAAATCTACATTTATTCAAACAGTCATGTCTTGCTGATGATCTCAACTGGGATTTATGTTTGGGGTAGGGCTTATATTATGAGCATCCTGAAAAATCATGCTAGGGCTTAGTTTCCAATTAGGTCTTATTTTTGGGAAAACACAGTACATAGAAATATGTTCAATTCAAGTCTGTACATTTAAATTTCAGCAACAGTTAATTTCAGCTTTCCCCCATTAATTTCTTTTCCAGTCCCTCTGAATGTCCTGGAGAGACAGACCCCTTGCTACTAGACTTTGTGCAACCCCACCACCCTCAGATCCATCCGTGACCCAACCACTTTGAAAGACAGACATTTCTATTTATTGGGCAATTGCACAATTTTGTTTAACACTGTTATAAAACACTTTTGAATAATTCACAGTAATTTATGGAAATATTTTTAGGATGCATTTCTGTTTGGTTTATAAATGATTGAAGTATTTAACATAGTTACCAAACATTGAAAACAAAAACTCTGTGGCTCATGGAATATCTGACATTTCAATTCTAGTACCTTTGTGATATAAAAAAAATACTATTCCCTAAATTCATGTACCACAGACTTCATACATCTGTCATGATGTAATCATGGGATAAGGTAAAGCTAATTATTCTTCCATGAGCAGTGACATGCTGATAAACTGGGACTTGGAAAATAAAAATGCTGATTTATAGTGTTTTCTGATTTCTAAGTTGTAACTACTCCCACCATGACAGATTTTTAAGACACCAATGGATTTAACAACCAGCTTGCAAAATTCCAGAAAATTTGAAGATCAGTTTTTGCAAGCTGTACTAGCTGACTCCAGTCAGCTTAAAACTCATTACTAGGTTTTTAAGCCACTTACACATATTAACAGGATCACAAAGGAAATGTTTAACTAAGTCATATTGAGGTATTCATTTATGTAGAAAGTATCTACAATCTAAATTTAATGTTTGAGTCACTTATTCAGGTCTTAAATTATCACTGCCTTATTACTTTAGGTCAAAATTTTTTATGTATCTAAAATACAATTGCACTTGTTCATGAGATTGTTCTATAAATCCAAAGTTTTGCTCATCTTGGCAGGCCTTTCACCCCATCTAAGGTGGGATTATAAGATTTTATGTTAATTAATGCAACAGCAATAATTCTAACAAAATGGGCCCCAAAGAACACTTAAACTTTTTTCAGAGAGCTGTATAGAAAATTCTAGAATTTGGACTACTTCCTTGAGAGGTTGGTATTCTAGTTTCTGCATAGTTGGACAGCCAGCTCACTGTTGTACTGACTTACTCTGACCACATGGGTTCTCTCCGCAGTTACAGAGTTTGTCGGACTGAGCTACCGGAGAACAGTGGGGATTTTTTACCAAGTCACCTTTACCGTTGGGCTCCTGCTACTTGCTGGGATAGCATATGCCCTTCCTCACTGGAGGTGGCTGCAGCTCACAGTTACTCTGCCCAACTTTTGCTTCTTGCTTTATTATTGGTAAGTCTGTTTGGAACAAAAAAGGAAATGAATTGAAATATTTTATTTCTATCTTCCCTAATGCACAGCATTCTTCTGAATTCTAAGGTTTCCTTCACTCTCTTGTTTCACAGGAAGCTCAGGTCCACGTTTCAGGGATTAAAAACCAAGAGGTTCAGCCTGCCCTCCCTCTGGAAGTCAAATGCCCCTTCACTTTGGACTTAAGAGTTTTATAACTTGGACCTTACGTTTTCACAGTATTCATGTGGTGTTTAAATTAGCTCTGAGTGGCTGTGATACCCTTTGAAGAGATTGACAATATTACTGTTTGTATTCTGTCTCTCTTCAGAGAAAACTTTAGAATAGAGAAGCTAAGTATCGCACTTGTGTCACCTCTTCCCTATATCCATGCCCAAAGCAGACATCCCCAATCAATCACAAGCAGTCTTTATCCCAGATAAGGCCAATATGGCACCCCCCACACACAGACCATACCAATCAATCAGCTGCCAGGGCAAGTCAAATATGTTTGTCACGCTGCCTAAGGGAAATGTGGGAAACAGTAGAAACAGCAAAAACTATCAAAAACCTCTAATGCGGGGTTACCTGAAATAAAACACAAAGGATGCTGGATTATCAACCGTCTCTCTCCCATGCAACAAACCCATGTATTTCATTTCTGGGCATCTCCACTTGTTCTTCCCAGGGTTGTCCAAGAAATAAACACCTCCACCTTCCCAGGAAGCCTGTTCCTCCTCCAAAAACCAGTAAAACTCTGAGAGTGATCCTTAGCTCCCTCCTTATATCCATTTCTACCTCCTTTCTGTCTCTGAATCCACCCCTTTTTTTCCCATTCCCATTAGGAGTCCATGATTTCTTGCCTGGATTGCTGCAATAGACTCAGAACTGGCCTCTTTGATATTTGCTTTACCAGCCTCTAATCCTTTTTTAAAAATCCAGTTCTACCATGTAACTCTCCAGCTTAAAAGTCTCAGTGGTTTTGTTCCTTTCAGAATAAAGGCCTTATACTTTAGTGTGACAGAAAGGTCCACCTAGTATCCACGTTCTGGCCACCTCTGAAGCACTTCTTCTTGCCACGTTCACCCAACAGAATCACATTGAATTGACTTATAATTGTACCAGCTCCATGATGGTACAACATTTTCAAAACATCACTCAAGATGCAGAGTAGAAAACAGGTGTTTTTGTGGAATAATGGAGGCAAGGGGATCAGGTGAGAGACTATTGCCGTAATCCTTGCAGGAGAGGACAAGGGCCTGAATTAAGACAGACGTTGTGGGTATGAAAATGAAGAAAATTATAGACAATACTAATAAAGTGGCGATGACAGAGCTTGGTGATAGACTGAGTGTAAACGTTTAGAGAGAGACAGTGCCACGTGGATGGCACCCAGAGTGTAGGCTGTGTGTCTGCGTGTTGGTGGGAATACCGTGTCACGTCCTGCGTGGCAAGGGCAAATGGGACACGAGAGGGGCGACGCAGATTGAATAAAGAGAGAGACAGAAGTAAGATTTAAGTGCGAGACCAAGGGACTCAGCCTTCAGAGGGTCAGACTGAGCCACCGAATCGGGTCCACGCTAGGTTTTTATTGAGAAGTAAAACTGCTGTTGATCAGATTAGCATCCGTTTGAGGTCTGTGCCTCAAAGCCTTATCTATTAACATATCCATTATGTTCCAGCATATGCTATGCCTTCACATATCCACCACATAGCCCCAGGACACCTTGTTACTGTGTCCTCCCAGAGGAGATTAACTGTTAGCATTCCAACAGGTCCCAATACACCTTGAGACACTCCCCAGAGGGAGTCTTATCTGCCTCTCCAGTCATACCGAGGCTTTTCTCTCATAGCTAATGGGATTAGAGGGCTAAATGGGGGGGGGGACGTGTTTATAGAATTCAGCTGTCAGGCAACAATACTGTTCATAGAGAGAAGGAACACAGGAGGAGCGGGTGTGCAAGGAAAGGTGATGAGGTGAGCCTTGGACATGCAGAACTCTAGGTGCTGGAAGGACCTCAACGTGCAGAGATTCACATCTTTGCTGTAACTATGGGGACGGATGGGTTCACGCCGAGAAAATGAGCAGGACAGGGAGAGGAATGGGGATGGGGCAGAACAGGAGGGAACACCAATTTTTGAAAGCCAACCTAAGGACAAGGAGCCAGGACTAAAGAAGGAGGTGGCACCGTCGGCACGAAAGGAGGAGTTACAGGGACAGAGGAGGCATGGGAGTCACAGGAGGAGGGACCCAGTGCAAGCCTCACCTTCCCTGAAGCTGACCCCGGTCAGCCTGCCCAGGCGGGCGCCTCTGTCCCATGTGGTGGCATTGTGCACACATCTCTGCAACCTTCACATTTCCCTGCTTGCTGGCATCAACTGTCCACTGGACATCGCATGGCTTGATGGTGTGTCCCAGTAGGCTGTCAGCTCTTTGAGGTCAGGTAACATTGGGGGCCCTCCTGCCCAGCTTCCTGTCCAGGGCTGGGGTCCTACAGCAACACCCCCGACAGAGGATGATGCAGCCTCCGCGTGAGCACTGTCCTGGGTAATGCTAACTCCGTTTCAAGCAAGCCGTTCTCCTGCAGAATCCAAAGCTCAGGTTCAAGAGCAGGGTCACTGGACCACAATCTACATTCCTGTAAAGTCTAACCAGGGTTCCTAACTCTGCATTTAAAGCTTCAAAAAATTACTTTAACTTCTATTCTACCAGTCAGTTCTTTAACTGTTTGGATATGCCTCTCAGAATCCATCCAGACCCTCCACCTCTAGGCTAGCCATTTCTGGGTCCTACCTCCTCTGACCTGGTTCCCAAGCCCTTCACCTTCTTGGCCCTTCAGCTCAGGTAACAGCCAAACTGACTCTGCTTCCTGAAGTGTAGGCGGCCAGAGCTGAACATGTATGCCAAATGTGATCTAGAAAAACTTCCCTGTGACGTCACAGCAGAAAGGACCATGCTGTGAGCTGTGGGTTGACGGCCACTGAGCATACAAACGCTCCTGTTCCTGATGTCAAGTCTTAACCCAGGAATTGTTGACTCCTCCTCTGTCCATCGCACTCCCACAAAAACATGCGCTGGGTTTCCTTTTGAACCCTGCCTCTCAGAGCAAACCCCCCGCCCCCAGTGATGACCCCAGCTGGGGCCTGCCTGACTCTCCCCAAGAAGGACTCCAGAGCAGTCCTGCCCCCTCCTTTCTCACAGTCCCTCCTCCTCCCTCCCACCCTGAACCAGCGCTCAAAGCGACCTCTCCCGACACAGCCCCAAGTGGCTATAGTCCCGCTCAAGGACATACAGGGGTTCCCTTTGTCCTTCTAGGTCAAGCTCAATCTGTGCAGTCTGGTTCATAAGTTCTCTCACCATCTGAACAAATGCTTATCTCATTCCTTTAAGAAATCAGTTCTCAAAATAATATCCATCTAAAATATTGCTTCCCCCCATAAGGGCCTGCATACTCCCATCTCCACCCTGCCTGTGAGTCCTCACAGCTAACAAGCCTGGTGCCCACCTGAGCTGACTTGCCTCTCCCCGCAGCACAGACCTGGGTATTCAGCCACACCCTGCTTTGTGGTTTGCTTCCCATAGTTCCACTGGGAACTCTGGAGAGAGGACCCAAGGCTTCCTGCACAGAGCTGAGCAGAAGTCCGCATTTGAAGGAGGAAAGAATCACATATGCCTCTGCACAATTTTATAAAAATGTTTTTCTTATGGCGAGGGCTTTTAAGACCTACTCCCTTAGCAACTTCTAAATATTCAATATAGTATCGTTAACTATAGTCCTCATGCTTTGCATTACATCCCCAGGACTTATTTATTTTACAACTGGAAGTTTGCACTGTTTGACCTCCTTCACCCCCTGCCTCTGTCAACTACCAATCTGTTCCTTGTGTCTATGAGTTTGGTTTTTTTGTTGTTTTTTATTTAGATTCCACATATAAGTAAATCATACTGTATTGTCTTTCTCTGTCTGACTTATTTCACTTGGTATAATGTCCATCCATGTTGTCAAAATGGCAAGATTGTATTCCTTTTTATGGCTAAATAATAGTCCATTATATATGTATATATAATATATATCACATTTTCTTTATCCATTCATTCATTGATGGACATTTACGTTGCTTCCATATCTTGGCTATTGTAAATAGCGCTGCAATGAACATCAGGGTGCATATATCTTTTTGAGTTAGTGTTTTTGTTTTCCTCAAATAAACACCCAGAAGTGAAATTGCTGGGTCATGGGTAGTTCTATTTTTTGAGGAACCTCCATACTGTTTTCCATAGTGGCTGCGCCAATTTATAATCCCACCAATAGCACACAAGGGTTCCCTTTTCTCCACATCCTCACCAACATTGGTTAGTTTTGTCTTTTCGATAATAGTCATTCCACCAGGTGTGACGTGCTATCTCATTGTGGTTTTGATTTGCACTTCCCTAACAGCTAGTGATGTTGAGCATCTTTTCATGTACCTGTTGGCCATCTGTATGTCCTCTTTGGAAAAAAATGTATATTCAGATCCTCTGCCCATTTCTAAATCGGATTTTTGGGGGCTTTTATGCTATCCAGTTGTATGAGTTATGTATTTTGGATATTAATCTCTTATCAAATGCATGATTTGTAAATATCTTCTCCCGTTCAGTAGGCTGCCTTTTCACTTCGTTGATGGTTTCCTTGGCTGTGCAGCTCTGCACTGTTTTATTTCCTTTGTGGCCCACCCAAACCTCACTGAGTAAGATCCCTCACAGAAATCTGACTATGGCTGCTAGCGAGGGCGGGGTTCTGTAAGATTTCCCCCTCCACTTAACAGTACTGATAACACTTGTACTATACCCTAGGTGCATACCTGAGTCTCCGAGGTGGCTGATCTCCCAGAACAAAAATGCTAAAGCCATGACAGTCCTTAAGCACATTGCAAAGAAAAATGGAAAACCTCTGCCTGCCTCTCTTCAGGTGAGCCAGCAGCTGAAGTATTAAGTCAGGGGTTCCAACCACCTTCTCAAAGGGGTGCCACCGGAGGGGACCGTCTTATGCAACTGGATGTTTCTGTTGTACTAAGATGATCAGTTCCCCGGTCAGATACGTTAAGCAGATGGAAAAACATAAAACTAAAAGGAAACCAAAAATCATTTAAAAGTCAAATGAGGAGCTTCTGTCGTGTGCGTCTCAAAACTGTGCTGGCTACTCACACCTTAGTACCTGATGCCTTCTTTACCTGTGTGTCCGTCAGCATCCTCAGGGAAGGGGGTTTTCCCCAGAGGAGATTCCCAGGTCAGTAAAACATATTTTCAAACACAATAACTTCTTGGAATTGTGGATAGAAATTGTCCCCGGATGTTTTAAGCAATCCCCTACCTCCTTGAACAAGTTACCGAGGTGTCTGTTTTCTTGGCATTCAGTGTTTTGCCATTAGCAGACCTCACCACCTTTAACTTAAACCTTTCATCCGACAGGAGCTGGAAAAGAGAAAAATGTATTAGTAAATTATGTCAAAATAAGAATAAATCATTTCTGAATGAGGATCTAAGATGGGTTACCCATGAGAATTTAAGATTTTACATAACATTCATCACATTTAGAACGAGGAGTTGGGATTCAAAGGCCTTTCTTCTTCACTTCCTCTTTGGTTTCTGGGTGGTTGACGTACACGTTCTTTTCCGCTCATGTTCAGCACAGCATCAATGCTTAGGTTTATATCCATGCAGAGATTGGTCAGGGAACAAAGCTTGCGTGAGCTGTTGTCTCGTCCGAGTTCAGAGGTCACGTGATGGCAATAAGTCCAGTCACCGCTGGTCTCGCTAGAGTTTTCTTCCCCTAGTTTCTCTGGCTTTCACACACCATCATTTGGGCCTTGATTTACCCACCGTGCTTCCCCCACACAGTGTCACTTTATGTACGTGCTTGAGTTATCTAGCTTCCCTGTATCCCTTCTTCCCCTTCTGTGAAATGGGGTGAAAAACAGAGACCCTACCTCCTAGGATCGTTGTAAAGACTAAATGAGCTCGTGTGTGTGAAGGGCTTAGCATAGTCCTGGGCATATAAGTACTCAGCAAGCGTGAGGCACTATTGTCACTTCTGTATGACCCAGGGACACCATCACTAAATATACAAAGCCGTTCCTCTTATTTCTACTCGTAGAGCCTCAGACCTGATGAGGAAACCGGGGAGAAGATGAATCCTTCATTTCTTGACTTGGTCAGAACCCCTCAGATAAGGAAACACACTTTGATCTTGATGTACAACTGGTAAGGAATATTTTTCACAATATTTTTTCACAAATCCTTCCACATCCCAGTCATCCACATGGAGCGGGGGACAAGCGCACCTTCAAAGCATAGCCTAGTTCTCGTATTAGCATCAATAGAGGGCAGCAAAAGGCTCCTTTATAGCAAGCTTTCCGTATACCATTTTTCTCAGACAGATATTGAAATCTACTTCAAGCCCCAAAGCCTCAATCAGTACATTCTCAACCTTGGCCTCACCTTGGCATCACCTGGGAGATTTTAAAATACCAAGGCCAGACCCCTCCCCCGCAAGAATACTGTTAAAATAATCAAGGGAAGGGCCCAGGAACCAATATTTTTAAAATTCTCCAGGAGACTCTGATGTGTAGCCAGAATTGAGAACCATCGGTATAGATGAATTGATGATGGGTGTACATCTGTCTCAATTGTATAGGACTGGCAAGGAAAAGGCCTTTCCCCCTCTTTTCTGCCTGAAGGGGAAAACAAAACCTTTGGAACAAGAATGAACCACAGGAGTAACCCACTGACTCCACAGTCCAGTGAGCTCAGCGTGACCGTTTTCGCTGCCTGCGGGTTGCTCCCGGCTCTGAGCTGTGTGCGGTGCCCGAGCCTTCCTCACTGTAGCACCCTTTGCTTTCAGTGTGCAGCGTTCAGATGACTCACACTGGCCGACAGAAGATTGATAGTCACTGACAAAAGCAAAGCTCATCGGGAATGAATTTAGCAACCTTCACCGTATGGCATGAGAAATGCACCCGTGAAATTTGGCCGCATTAGCCTTCTTTCCTTTTCTGAATCATTGTGACTCTTCCCAGTTGTCCTCATATTTTCCATGACAGACCATGAGCACTTTCAGCCCACAAAACTAGAAACATTGTCAAAATGTTATTTGTATCATGGCAGAAGATGAATCACCATTTGGTGCTCTGGTGTCCTAAAATTTGAATTATTAATAAGTAGTCAACCCTTTGGTATCGATTGTATTAGAAGACCCCAGAGAAATAATTAACAACCATTAATAACCCAATAGAGTTTTACTAAACAAAATCATTCTAGTAAGACATTTCTTCTTGCCTTTCAACTTGGCCAGGGGATGCTGTCCTAGTTTTTCCGCTCTGCTGGTTGTGGGGTCACAGCCAGCCACCACAGTGGGTCAGATAGTGTCAAAGCAATGGAATGGAATAGCCATAAGGAGATGACAAAGAAAGGTGATCTGCTATCAACTCTCATTTTTTCCAGAAGCCCCCCCCCGCTTTCGGAGACTCACTCTTGGTGCTTCGCTTGACCTGAGCTCTCCTCTTTACTCAGGTTCACGAGCTCTGTTCTCTACCAGGGCCTCATCATGCACCTGGGCCTGGCAGGGAGCAATATCTACCTGGATTTCTTGTACTCCGCCCTGGTGGAATTCCCAGCAGCCTTCATCATCATCGTCACCATTGACCGAATCGGTCGCCGTTATCCGTGGGCTGCATCAAATGTGGTAGCAGGCGCAGCCTGTCTAGCCTCGGTTTTTATCCCTGATGGTAAGTGTCAGGCCAAGCTGGGGTCTTGTTTTCTAAGATCCTATGAAGAGGGGTGTCACAGCCCTTTGATAGGAAGACCGTGGAATTCACCATCCAGATAGATTTAGAAAGAATGAAGACAGTATCTGGGACCTTCCTGACAAACCCATAGGGCCACCCTGCCTGGAAGAACAATCAAATCCCGTGTTTGCCTGACCTAGTATAATCACACCCAACTGTGCTCTGATGTGATAAGGAGGACCCTGTGACAGGCAGTCAGGCCAGCCCAAAGCAGAGAGCATGGGCTTTGCGGCAGAACAGGCCCAGGGTTGGTTTGATTTCAGCACTTCCCAGGTATTATTTGGGAAATCCCTTTGACCTCCCTACACCATTCTGTAGAATTAATAAGAATACTTAAATGAATGCCATCCATGAACAATTATTCAGTTCCTTTCTTTCCTTTTAAAATACTTTCTCAATGAATGGGAGCAAAAGCCGGCATAACATGATCCTATAAGCAACATGGAGCTTTGTTTGAATCCTCTAGTTATTAGCAGTTACTTAGAATCTGCCCATATTTTTGCCATTTCTTTTGGGTGACCTCTATAGACTAATGCTGGCCCAGCTTTTAAAACTGGTATAATTCTTTTGGCATTAATGACTGCGGTTTAAAGTTAAGAGAGTATTAGGACTGTGTCTAAAGTTAAAACAAACAGACGGAAATACGCTGACGTTGTCTTGAGTCTATAGAAGAACTCTGCTTTCTTGTCCCGTTCTGGAATGTGCAAATCCCCGTCTGGAACCCTGTTTGAAGATCAGGGGTCCTGTTCTCTATGTGTAAGTGGTGTGTTTGTCCCTCAGATCTACAATGGCTAAGAGTTACAGTCGCATGCTTGGGCAGAATGGGGATTACGATGGCCTACGAAATGGTTTGCTTTGTCAATGCGGAACTATACCCCACATTCATCAGGTGAGCACACTTTCCTCTGCTTGAAGAGGGTGGTTGGGGCATTTGCTTCTTGGCTCAAACTACCACAGGTGCCAGCCGAGGACACCTTACTTTTCAAAACACAGGGTAAGAGAGCATGAGAACATCTAAAGGTAGGTCACACCTTCACACTTACAGCCTGGGGTAAAATACAGGAACTGTGGTGAGAACAGAAGGTAATGAATTGCAAGAGAGTGATTACCAAATGGCCACAAGGGGTGGTGATCAGAAGCAACACAAGCAGGACCATAGAAACAGAGAAGTTAGTGATGAAAGTGGAAAGTGAAAATCGCCCCCCAATTAAAAATCTTCAAGAAAGTTAGTGTAAAACAAATATAACAGAATATGAAACAGTGTACTATATATCATTTATGTGTATTGAAAATAATGTGAACACATTTTTCAGTTCACAGACATTTGAATGATTTGGAGAAGTATTTACTTGGGTGTGGGGCAGGAGCTAGCTACTGTACTGTGATAAGTTAAAAAGTTAAATCAGTTGCCTGCATTTCAGGAATCTCGGTGTCCTTGTCTGCTCCTCAATGTGTGACATCGGTGGCATCATCACGCCGTTCCTGGTCTACCGGCTCACCGACGTCTGGCAAGAGCTCCCACTGGTGGTTTTTGGTAAGAAATCCTAAGAGAGGTCTTTGAATGAAAACCTATTTTTCTAGGGACCTCTATTCTTCTACCTCAAAATAGGCGTCATGCCTGTCAGTAATTACTAAATATGACTAGTAATTAGTAATACTATTAGTGTTAGTATACTAGTATTTGTAACACTATTAGTGTTAGTAGCAGTTACTATCAGTAGCTACTAATACTCAAGTATGGGACTCATTCAGACCCTTGCCTGCAGAGGTACAAAGTCGAGAAAGAACAAGATGAAAAAGGTTGTCTATCTCTCCTCGCTGATTTCCACCCTTCCTTGGGTGTCTTTATCAAAGAGCTCTCTTTTCTGCCTCCTCTGTACCCAGATGTGGAAAAATACAAACTCTTTACTCAATCGCGTTAAAGAAAGGCTGTTGACATTTTGCAAAGGGCCATTTGACACCCAGGGAAACAGGCCATGCTTTAGCACCGTGGAACATCTGTGTTGGTGTTGGGCACACTTCCTCACATTCCTCAGGCAATTAGCTCTAAGGAGGGCTGGCTCAGCACGTCCCTTCTGACGCTGCAGGAATGTACCAAGGCTGAGCCCTCGCATCCCTGACCAGCTTGGAGGAGAGAAAGTGACAGGGACAAGTCTAAGGATCAGCAATTAACACAAAGAGGCATGTGTTGGACAGGAAGTCTGCAGACTGTGACAGGGGACTGGGAACCACTTCCATTCATTCAACACCCATTGCCTTTCCCCACAGCTATGGACTATGGGACAGATCCTCTCCTATGTACACACACACACACACACACACACTTCCAGATTCACACACACAACATTCACCTTCTCATGTTAGCTGGAACGCCTCAATGCACCCATTTCAGTCTCCTTTCAGACCCATTCTGAGTCCGTTTTCATTTGGCAAAAATGTAACACTTTTCCCCTTGGGCATACAACACTCACTTAATTTGGGGGGGAGGAAGGAAGAGACCCTCTCAGGTGCACCCCAGGGGAGCGCCCCATGCTTTTCTCCACAAGTATCTCTGCTCATTCCTCTTCTCAGGGATTTGTAAGGGGAAATTTTCCACTGCTGTAGATCTGCCAGTAACAATTCCAAACCATTGATAGAACTCACCCTCGAAACAGGCCCAGTGAATTCCGCCACATTCCAACTGAACAGCGACATGGCCACAGTTGATAGAACACGAGCTCTGTATCCTGAGATAACCATAACATGGTCACAGAATGGCTGGCACTGCTTACGGGACATCCATGCCCCAGATTCCTTCTTCCCCCAGAACTGGCTGAGGGACCTGTCCCCAGAGTCCCCTTTTCACCTTAGGGAGTGCCGTCACACCTTCTGGACTCCTTCCTTTCAGGGAACAAGGTGGAGGTGCCTCAATTTCCACCACCCCCTTAGGTGGGCAGTGAGTGATCAGTGGGTCCCTGGGAGATTTCTGGGTAGAGAACAGACGCTTCAGCTTCTCTGAGCGCTATTTAATGAAGCAGCGCGAAGTCGAAGCCCGGGAGCACCACTGTTCACCCTCCCTCAGACCTCACCTTCCCCTCGAAAAAGTAAAGGATTTTTCATTGCATTTCAACATTTCAAGTACACTCTGTGACAATTCCCCGTTTAATTGTTGCTGGTAGTTTCAACTTCCCTCGCCAGTCTTTTTAATCTGAGTAGCTAGCAAAACTAATAGTTTTCCATTTTAACTTCTTTCCCTTTCTTTTCCACATAATAATGGCATGCTACTTGTGGTCTTGAAATAGCCAGACACAGAAATCTAGAAGCCTGAAAATTGACAAACCCACTTAAAAGAGCACTGGACAAAGTGATAAGGAATGCTCTGCTTAATTAGTCTTATCTTTGCAAATATAAAATGCTAAATGGGTGATAATTCAGTTACTCTATTGTATCCGCTTCCTAATTCATTCGCTTCAGAGAATGAAAGCCAGCTGCCTGTGTTTACCGTTTGCATGAGTTAAATCAAATGCCTCTTGAGAGAGGTTTGGAGAGATTTTGAGAGGTTAGCTATTTAGCTCTGGCTTGTGGCAGGCCCTGCTGTAAGCACTTAATAAACAGGAATTCATTTCAGCCTCAGCACAAGCCTGTGAGGTAGGCATATCACCCCACTTTATGTAGGGGAGTCCGGACCCTCAGGGACACTGTAGCACTTCCCAGGGCTCAAAGACCAGTAAAGTGGGTGTCGCAACTGGGACCAGTCACCCAGAGCTGCACCTGGCACACAGAACCACTGCGCTCTGGCCTCTATGCTGTCACTTTTTAAGGATGCAAAAATGGAGTCCAGCATGCATTTTTCTGTCACTCCAAAACTACTGAGGACCTACATCCCACTTTTTGCACTCTATTACAGAAAAACATATAAAAATGTAAATTTAACACCCAAAAACTTGTATTCGAATTTAAAGAAACTAAAACACTATAATATTTATAATTACCTCCCAGCACAGGCAAAAAATTGGAGCTGGAGATAAAGGAAAAAAGAACAACAGGAACTTATTGAACACCTGAATTCAAACTCAAAGTCCTGGCTATACTTTTTAATGTTGTTATCCAAGGTCAGACAATTAAGTTGGCGAACTCATCCTAGAAAAAGTGCTACTTACCTTATTGCTGAATATCACTACGGTCACCTTCCCCTTGGGAAGCTATGCACCAACGCCAGCGCCTAGTCCACCCTTCAAAGCCATTTGGGAACTCTTTTTCTGGATTGGTCATCAGAGCTGTCGTCATATTACCCTTGATGTCCTGAAAGTCATCAAAATGTCTTCCTTTCGATATTTCCTTTCTCTTTGGGTAAAGAAAGAAGTCATTGGGGGCCAGATCAGGTGAGTAAGGGAGGGTGTTCCAATACAGTTATTTGTTTACTGGCTAAAAACTCCCTCACCGACAGTGCTGTGTGAGCTGGTGCATTGTCGTGATGCAAGAGCTATGAATTGTTGGTGAAAAGTTCAGGTCATCTAACTTTTTCACGCAGGCTTTTCAGCACTTCCAAATGGTAAACTTGGTTAACTGTTTGTCTGGTTGGTACAAATTCATAATGAATAATCCCTCTGATATAAAAAAAAAGTTAGCAATATCATTGCAATAAGTTCGAGAACTTAATTGTCAGACCTCATACAGTAATACGTGATTCATTACTTTTATTTGCCAGTAACGATCCAAGTTTCTGACTCCTTTTCATCACTAAGTGCTTTATATTGGCAGGGTTATGTTCCTTCTTTTCTTAGAGTTGATTTTTTTTTCAGAGTTATTTTCTAACTCCCAAGTATCTTAATATTATAGTGGCAGTGTCCTCTAGCCTAGAATAACCTTGACTTAAAATGTCAAGTATTTCATTTCCCTATAAGGAATTGTAATCCAACAGAGTTTGGGATCCGCATAATATTTATGATGGAGAACAGGGCTGTCAGATGGCAAAGAAATTCATAAGTATAGGAAATCACACAAAAATTTTTTTTAAGAAATAAGGGGAGCTCTAATAATAGAGCCTGAATGTGTCTGTTCCTAATGTGATTTACATCTGTTTGGCTTTCAGCTGTGGTTGGCTTGATTGCTGGAGGACTGGTGTTGCTGCTACCCGAGACCAAAGGGAAGACTTTGCCCGAAACGATTGATGAGGTTGAGAACATGCAGAAGTAGGGAGCCGAAATTCCTGAAGGGACTATTCCATACATGTTTGGGGCCAGCTCTATAGCCAGTGGGAAGGAAAGATGAGGTTGAATATACACCTCATACCACACATTGAGATCAATGCCAATGAAATCAGACTTAAGAGTATAAAAAAAAATAAGTAAAATAACAAAAATACTAGAGGAGAATACCTTTATATTTTCATAGTGGGGAAGGTCTTTGTAAATATGGCCAAAAATCCAGGACCCATTTTTTAAAAGATCAATAAGTTTGCCTTCATAAAAATTAAAAATTCTGCATTGAAAAACTACCATAAGCTTTTAAAAAAATAATAGCAAACGTGGAGAAAATATTTACTCCTCTACAAAGGACTAATTTCCCCAATGTATAAAGAGCTGTAACAAATCCATAAGAGCAACTACCCAATAGAACAAAATGAGTAAAGGGCTTAAACAGATAATTCAGTGAAGGAAAAGAAAAACAGCTCTTAAATATATAAAAATATGCTCAGCCTCCTTCATAATAAGAGAAGGACGAATGAACACTGCACTAATTTCCACTTGGATTGTTGAAGACCAAACTGCTTGGGAAAGAATGTGGGGAAATTACCCTACATTGCCTGTAGGAATAGAAATTTGATCAGCAATATGACAAAAGTAAAAGAAATTACAAGTGTGCATATCAATTTACCAAGCAATTCCACACTTCTAGGAACTTACATGTGCAAAGTACAGGATTATTTTTAAGGCAATTTTTTTATTATTTAACAAAAGACTGGAAACAAACTAAATGACCACTGATTGGGAGACCAGTTATATAAATTATGGTATGTCATTTAATTAAATACCATACAGCCATTAAAAAGAATGGGGTAGCTTTATATACACTAACAAGGAAAGTTCTCCAAGACATATTATTAATGAAAAAAAGCAAAGTATAGAAAATATAAATTCTACCATTTGTGGGGAAATAAGTGAAAAATATATATGTATTAAATATATACAGATATTTACTTGTATCAGATACATGAGTATATACTATCTATGCAAGAACCTTACCATTGGCTGTCATAGAATTCGGTGGCTGTGAGAGGGAGACCTTTCAGCACATACTCTGTTGTTCTTGCTGAATTTTGAACCATATGAACCTATTCAAAAAGTAAACAAATAATCTAAAAAAAGAGAAATGTATATGATGCACTCCCCACAAGTTTGTTGCTGCTGATATTGTTGTTGCTACTATTGTTGCTGCTGTTGTTTCTAACTGTTGCTGCTGCTGCTACTGTTGTTGTCACTACTGCTATTGTTGTTCCTGCTGTTGCTTCTGCTATTGTTGCTGTTGTTTCTGGTGTCACTGCTGTTGCTGTCCCCGCTGTTGTTACTGCTGTTGTTATTGTCACTGCTGTTGTTGTCACTGTTGTTGCTACTCTTGCTGTGGCAACTGTTGTTATTGCTGCTGTTGCTGTTGCTCTTGTTGCTCCTGTAACTGCTGTTTTTGTTGTTGCTGCTGTTGTTGTTGATGCTGCTCCTATTTTTGTTGCTGCTGTTGCTGTTATTGTTCCTGTTATTGTTGTTGCTGCTTTTGTTGTTGCCACTGTTGTTGTTGCCGCTGCTGTTGTTGCTATCATTGCTGTTGTTCTTGTTGCTGCTGTTGTTGTTCCTGCTGTTGTTGATGCTGCCGCTATTTTTGCTGTTGTTGTTCCTGCTGTCACTGGTGTTATTGCTGCTTCTGTTACTGTTGTTGTTGTTCCCATTGTCAGTTTTGTTGCTGCTGTTGTTGTCACTGTTGTTGTTACTGTTCTTGCTGCTCCTATTGTTGTTGCTATTGTTGCTGCCATTGCTGTTGTTCCTGCTGTTGCTGCTTTTGTTGATGCTGCTATTGCTGTTGTTGTTGTTCCTACTTTTGTTGTTCTCACTGCTGTTCTTATTGCTGCTGCTGCTGCTGCTGCTGCTGTTGCTGTTGTTGTTCCTGGTATTATTGTTGCTGCTTTTTTTTGTTTTTTTGCTGTTGCTGCTGTTGTTGCTGTTGCTGTTGTTGCTGCTGTTGCTATTGTTGCTGTTGTTCTCACTGTTGTTCTTGCTGCTGCTGCTGTTGTTGCTGCTGTTGTTGCTGCTGCTGTTGTTACTGTTGTTGCTGCTGCTGCTGTTGTTGTCACTGTTGTTGCTACTATTG